GACGTCTGCAGGCTGCCCTCGCAGGCTGNGCCCCCGTGCGGCCTAGTCGTGTGGCAAACAGTTCCCTCGCAGAATTCACGTGCACCGCACCACGTGCTGGGCGCAGCGTAAATTTGCGTCGCGGGGGACAATGCGGTGGCGTCCCTCCTTCTTGCGGGTGAACGAAGAGGCGGTAGGTGTTCTGCTCCTTCGCACGTCAGCGAATTGCAGCGCAAAATGCCACCGCGACGAGGCAGTCAATTTCACTGTGAGTGGGTGATATTTGCGTGTGACTACGCACACACAGAGCTGTGGGGATCCGAATGTGAAGTGCAATACGAGAAGAAGATAGAAGCCTCGTCGCAGTTGTTGTGTGTGCCGTGCAATTTGCACGGTTTGCCTAGGGAGATCTAATTTGCCCTCGTTGTTTGTGTGGGAGGGTGCCGTGATGCATCATGCTTGCGTTGTGTGCGGGATTAGGGGTGCCTGTGCGTGTTTGTGTGTGTGAGGTGTGCGCCGCGTGCCGTGTGTGTGGGTGGCCCTCTCTTTTTTTTTCGTTGCGGCTGCGTGGAGTTGTGTCTGTGCCCGTTTTTTTTTTTAATAATTTCATTCTCCCTTTTGACTGCTGGTTGAGTATTGTGCTGCAGTTCAACTCAAGTTAACCACTACGAAGGAAAACATGTCTGAGAGACGCGAGGAGGAATGTCACGGCACCGAGGAGCCCCCGCACAGCGTCGAAGGGTGGAAGGAGCGCCGCAGCGGCCAAGGTGGACGCTTGCGGGCTCTATGGAGGATGTCCGTAGTGTGCGGGGTGGCCAAATCAATATAATTTTGCTGAACGACTTCCTTCGGCAGTACGTTGGCCCCGACAGAGCGGTGGCTGAAGACCAAAATGTGGTGATGGAGGTGTTTGTGCGTGGGCCAGACAGGTACGTTACAGAGCAGAGGCGTCGTGAGGGGAAATTCTCAATTCCACCAGGGTATCAGCTTTTTGAAGATGCACGCAAGCTTACGGAGCGCATGGTGGGCACGCTGCGAGACTGGAAGGAATTTACAGATAAGAGTATTGTCTCTGCTATTACACGAACAAAACTGAAGGCAGCTCTTCAACTAGCGTAGGAGGAAGGGGCAACACGGGAAAGCGAAATACGCCCCAGAGGACCATCACCGGAGGCATTCTACGAGTCCGTGTTTAACGCAACGTGGAGTCACGTCGTGGGATTTCCCGAGGGCGAAGGGGAAGACATGGTGGTGATAGAGGGCCAACGGCCACAAGAGTTATGGGAGTACACACAGACTGTGCGTACTTTTCTCTCAGTGGGTGGTGAGGGCAATTCCGTCCACCACGCCCACGACTCATGGTCCTTTCCTCTGAACAGCGATGGCCGTACTCGCTGAACCATGCAGTGCCTATTGCCGACTGCTACATTAACATTGAGGTGCATCGGGTGTGGAGGATCGTCGAGGGCGATCTAAAAGGGGTGTTTCTCCCTCCAGAGAGAGACGCACCATACTTGAGACGCCGTCTTTTGATTGGAACCCCCGGGATAGGGAAGTCAATGGCGGCTGGCTCCTACCTCCTTTATCAGCTGCTGCAACACGGCGCCACAGAGCTCCATGTGGTTGTGTACTGCTTTGGAAGGAATTTCGCATACTTGTTTGACAATACGGCACGAACGGTGACAATATACGAGGGTGAGAGTAATATTGGAAGGGTTATGGTAAATTTGGCTAGGACTGGAATGAAGGGGTATATTATCATCGATATGGCAGGACAATTTAACGAACCATCGGATAATGTTGTGCCCTCCCATGAGTGGGGCATCATTATGTTGTCGTCCCCGCACGAAGATAACTTCAAACAATGGGCGAAGCAGGCGGGTGCTGTCAAAATAATCATGAATTGCCCCGATGAAAATGACGTGAAGGCGATGTGTGCGTGGGAGATGCGCAATACGACTGAAGAGGAGCAGGCGGAGTATTGGAGAAGGATGCACATGCACACGCATGACGTCGGACCGATTCCACGATGCATCTTTCAATTCAATGAATATGAGGACCGCGTGGAGGAAATCAAGGACATCCTGGCAGGTATCGACGCTTCAAATGCTGTACATTATGGGATGATTGGAGGTGTGGAAGAGTGGCCCTCGAATGACGCACCTCACAAACTTATGAAGGCTGTCAGGGCAATAAGACAACGCGATGTTGAGGCGTTTGTTAACCTGCCGGTCTGTTTTTCTCTTGGAAGCAAATTAATTGGAAGGTTGCTCGAGGTGGATGAGAAGAATGGCATTATTCTTCGACTGTTGAAGTACCGGAGAGTGTTATTTCCGGAACTTTTGGAGCGGTACACTCTGCACGTATTCCTGCGTAGAGTCTTTGTGGAAAATGTAATGCCGGGCCTCAATGAGTTGCCTCCACAAGGACGTCGTCAGCGACAGAGATGTGTGCTGCAATCGAACCCCGAAAAGCATCCAAGCAGACCTGTTGCATTAATAACGCTGGACCACACTCCTCTGAGGTTGGATGTACAATACAAGGTGCTATAAGTACCGGAGAGCAGAACTTTTCCGCTTGTGGACGCCTTTTTCTTCGTAGGTGCACCGCGGAGGACGATGGTTGCGGTGCAGGTGAGACGGCGAGGGCTGAGCATGGCACCAGAACCAGCACGGTGGGGCGGTTCAACAATCTTCCACGGAGTTATTTTAATGGCTGGGAAACTTTTGCGGAAGGCTTGTCGTGGGGGATTATTTACGTGCATCATGAGGACAGTACGTCAATAAACGCGTGGCAGGGATGTGTTGTCGTCGCGCACGCAAATGTAACGGGCAGCAATGAGCGTGAGGACCCTCAGGCCATTGCGGCATTTTGGAATCAGCAGGTGCGTCAGTGCGAGGTAGCGGTATCGGCTGAAAGTTTCAGAAGTGAACGACAAACCCAACGTGGGCGGCAACCAGAGGGAGAAGGAAAAGGAGGAGGGGAACAAGCAGCTTGAGTTTACTGGTGAAGTATTTTGGGGAGTATTATGTATTGCCGAGTGTGTTTGTGTGTGGGTAGGAGGCGCACTTAGGGACTCGCTCTGCCGTGCACCAAATGATTATTGCGGCCAGCGCTACCACAGCAGCACCTTTTTTTTGTTGTGGTTGCGAGTAAAATTGTGTGGGGAATGATGGCGCCTTGTGGGTGTACGCCGGCAGTATTCCATTGGTGATATCTCCTCGCTGTTCCCAGTTTGTTGCTGCAGAAAGTTTGGGCGAGAGGGTAAGTTTTGCATGCTGAGTGGGCTCACAGGCGGGAAAGCAAATGCGGCGGCCATCACAGCCCAGAAGTCAGGGGCAAACCGAATTATTGTGAGTGCTTTTGCGCCTTGGCGTGATGTTTTTCCCTTTTGTTTTTTGGGTGCCATCGTTTTGGTTCGTCTGTGCTCCAATGGGGGGTGCCGCATGCACCGCTGAGAGCCTCGAGCAAACGCAGTTGGCGTCTCTCTTTTGTTGGGTTGCCGTCCTGGGCGCATGCGCCTGTTCCGTCTTGGTCGGGCTGCATGTACTGACCGGGCAGTCTGAGGCTACGGCTGCGCTGGCGTCCCCCTCCCTTGCAAGCGGAACGAAGCAGCAGGAAAGGGGGCTGCATGCATCGTTTTTTATTTTTATTTTTTAAAAATAAATTACGCCCCACTCCTGCTGCAGTGCGCTGAGGGAAGTGGCGTTGGGGAGTTTGTGGGGGCCGTGATGGGAAGTCCCGCCGGCATGCGCACTGCGTGTTGTTGCTGGCGGGGTTTGA